TCTTTGTGTGTGTGTGTATATATATATATATATATATATATATATATATATAAAAATAAATAAAATTTATTAAGTACGATACTGTACTTCTTCCTAATTTGACCAGGACCACACAAGTTCTTAACATTCTTTTTGTGTGTGCATGTATGATTTTTTTTTTTGTGCCTTTGGGTTTTACTACCTCTGTTATTTCTAGCCAAGCTTTAACTATAGGGAAAAGATGGTAAATTTATGGTTTACAGTAATGCAAAGATATGATTTCGGATATTCATTTATTAATTTTTGTCTCCCCTGATTTTTTTTTTTTTCCTTCAAACTGTTGCTTTTAACTATTTTTTCCAATTCTGAGTGAAACTGAATAAGTCTTTGGAGTGGCTTTTTAAAGGGCTTTATATATTTTGAAGCTCAGGTCTTCATTTTTTCCCCTGTCTTCTTGAATTATCGTTATTCCCAGAGATGTACTTGAGATTTTTCTGTAGTTAGTAGAGACATTGATTTTCAGATTACTGAAATAAATGTATTCTAATAATGATACAAATCATTTAGAACTTTGTCTTTGTAGCTTAAAAAACAGAAAAACCTACTTTTTCAAAAATTTAAAAAATAAATATATAGCCAGGATGTAGCATAGAAAATTATTTTTCCTACCAAAGCTCTTTATTTTATTCATATGGTAGTTTAAATAAAATATAATCATGCTAACAACAGTGGAAGTTATTCATTTTCTATTGAATATATTTTTTAAGTTCATTACTGGTGTCTCCTGGAATACTATGCATATAAAATAAGAAGCAAGTATTGTTATATTTTTTTGTCAACTGTTTTGTTTTTTTTCTTTTTAAAGCAACTGATCTAGTGCTGAGGAAGGTGATTAATTTTTCTGACTGCACAGTATGTCTTGATAAGAGAAATGCTAGTGGCAAAATTGAATTTTACCAGGACCCTCTGCTTTACAAGTGTTCCTTCAAGACTCGCTTGCATTTTACTTATGATAACCTTAATTCAAAGATGCCATCTGTTATTAAAGTAAGTACCAAGTGTCTTTTCTTATAGCTCTCTCCTCTTTTTTAAGCTATGTTAATCCATATTTATGAACTACTTTTCGGGTTTTCATAGTATAAATTAACATAAGAAAAAACAAAATCTGAAAGCTGACATAGTTCTCTTGCTATTTTGGAATGTTTGTCTGTATTATATGTGAACTAATAGCATGTTAATAAAGTTGGATTTGCTCTGAGAAGTTTGTAAAAAAAAAAAAAAAAAAAAAAAAAGATTTTATTGATTGTGTAACTCAGAAAATCAAAGATGTTAAACACTTAGTTTGGGGACTGCAGGAGTTAGAAAACTAGTAATGGGACAAACCATTTAATCTCAAGTCATTGTCTCAGTTATAACCTAGACATTGGTAGGTATTGACCCATGCATAAAGAATTAGTTGTCTAACTCTAGTTAGTGAGCAGGCATCCCTTATCTCTCACATATATCTAGCATTAAATTACATTTTTATTGATAATTGAAGTGTAGCAGTCAGTGCCTGCATTGGCACAGGCTCCTTTGTAATTCCTAAAACTTTCTGCTAATTGTCATGTAACATGCTGCTTTGCATTGTACATAACATTGTTTATCTGACGATCTCAAAGTGATATACAAACACTAGTTGTTTTGAAAATATTTGTCAAAACGTGACTTTTGTATGCACTTCATAGTCCACTATAGCGGAACTTTTTTGTCACAAGTAGTGGCAGTCAAGAAATGAATAGGTTTAAACACAGATGCTTATATAAGCATCTGTACTATCTTAGTATAGGAAGTTTTGAAGGAAACTTCTTGCAGGTACATGCTTCTGCATAATTATATGTTTTATGGATGGGATACCTTTTTCTGGAACCTGTAGTAAAGTCATAGTCAATCTGAGATAAAATACCTGATTAGGTAGACTGTTGGTGTGATCTAGAGATTCTTAAGTTACCTAAATTCACAACATCCTAGGGAACTAAATAGAAATCATGTCTGATTTACCAGTTGAGGAACTGCATTTGAAAGGGAACTCGTCTTTTTTCTAGCTTTAGTGCTTTTTTGTGTACATAACTGCACACCTACTTTGATCATGCCACTGTATGTATGTGGGCAGATACAGATTTTGGCTGTGACTTATTGCTGTGGTTTATGGACTATTCTGTGGCTACAAAATGCTTATTTAGATATGTTTTCATGCAGAATGCTAGATACATACTTGTTTTGTGTATGTGGATATCTAATAGCACATGTACAACTGGGAAATCAGTACTTGTCACAATTGTGAGTGCAGACTTACACTGTAGTACCCCTTCTTTCAGATCTTGGTATAATAACACAAACATTTTGTTAGGCACTGCAAGTTTATAAAATATTTCCGCATTCTGCACTTAATCCCATGTACCGTATTTACTCAAATAGAAGCTGACTCTGATTATAAAACGACCCTCCCCCCATAATTAGATTCCATATATGGACAATTAATATGTTTGTTATAATTTTCCAGGAATATAATCTAATTATTGGAGGTTTGCCTTGAATTTTTACTCTTCCCACTGTTACAGCATGGAAAATAAATCTGAGGGGTCATATAGCTTTTTTGCTCTCTGCTTTCCCCCACCTTTTTCCCCTGGCAGCCCCTTCCCCCTCTCCTTACTGTCAGACCCTGCTCTCCCTGAGCCAATGGAAGTGAGGAGTAAATGTGAAAACAATAAGCTGGAAATTAAACATGGCTGTAGCAATTTGCATGTAGTTCCTGTGTACATAAAAAGGTAACACGCATCCCGAATTGATGCGTGTTACCTTTTTATGAAGCTACTGCAAGTTTTAGTTCAGGTACTCCATAAACACACTTTTGGGCACATACTTATGTAGTACAAATGATGCATGGTATTAATCCAAAGTCAAAGGCTCATGATTTACCATAGAGTTCAATGGGCTGAATCCCACGAGCATCAATAGTATTTCAAGCCATGGTGACTCCATAGCTCAGCACTGCTCAGTATGTGTGTGTTCTCAAGGTACCCCCTCCCTGTCCCCCACATGTGCTAGTCAGTCCCCACTCATGACTGGAATTAGTTCTTGTCATGAGTCCTGGGATGCAACAACATTTTTTATGCAGATGAGTTGTAGGGCAATGTTCTCCAGCTTCACCTATAGGAGGGCAGAGCCACACTAATCACATGCACCTGGCTAAGGAAGGGGGCAACAGAGGGAATCTGGATGAACTGTTTGGGGTCTCATTTTGTGATGTTTGCCAAGCATTTAAGGCTTGAATCATTAGGAATGGGAAAGAAAGATACAGCTTAGCTGTGGGAGTAAAGAGGAAGTCAAAAGTATGCGATGTAGTGGCTTGCTATCACTTGACAAAGAGTCAGCAGTTAGGGGGACTGTACTTAATGTACACTACCTTACAGTTTATTCAGGTGGGCTGCATTAACCTAACCTTGTGGTAGGCTCCCATCAGCATTGAAAGACTGATCTATGCCTTAAGAAAGGGATCAACAGAGCATTGGGGTTTAAGACATGGAGAAGAGAAACCTGAAGCTCAAAACAATGGGAGTGGTGGCAAGTCAGCATGAGGTGGCAAAAGAGTTGAAGAGCAGAAATGAAGATCTGGAGATAGATGGAGAGTGGACAAGCAAGGAAGAAAGACATGACAGTGGGAGCAATGGCAGAGACAGTAACAATGGTGATAGGTGCAGAGGAGAACATAATGGGAACAGCAGGACAAGGTATGGCAGGTGAGAAACAGAGGACGGTGGGATTGTGTTGGCAGGCTGGCCCACTGGAAGTGGCATGGTGAGAAAACACAGAAGAGAGACTGAGGGGAAACTAGAGAGGAATGGAGGCTGTGGATAAAGGCAACTTTAGCTGGCGACAGGAGGTAGATGGTATTGATGATAAACAGATATTATTTGCTGGAAAAGGTGCTGTTTGCTATTATGGAGGTGTATGTGGAGCATTTCACCAGTCTAATTTCTTTTTCATACATTTCATAGACATCTGGGCTGGAAGGGACCCTGGAGGATAATTGAGTCCAGCCCCTTGCCCCAGGGGCAGGAAGTCAGCAGGGATCATAGGATCCCAGCAAGATAAGCATCCAAATGTGTTTTGAAGGCGTTCAAAGTGGGTGCTTGA